AGTAAAAAATTAAAAAATTAAAAAAAATTAATCGTAGTGTCATTATTCATTCTAATCAATTATTTGATGAAAGAAATACTTTTTCCCTGGCCAGGTAAATATTTTGGAACATCAAATGATTTTAGATGGAATAGACTTAATAGTATTCTGGAATCACATAATTAACAATCAACAGAAATTGTTTAATTAATTTTTCCTTTCAAAAAAAAGTAAATAAAGTTTTTTTTTTTAAATTTATTAAATTAAAAATAATTTTTTCTTTAAAAATTTTTATAATGTATATGTATATATTTTATAAAAAATATACATATAATTATTTATTTTTTTTTAATATAAAAAATATAAATTTTTATTTTAATTTTTTTTTTTAAAAAATAATCTTTATTATATTTAAGATTATTTTTTATAAATTATATTTAAGTTATTTGGAGAACTTGGTTCATTTTTTAATTTTTATAGATCTCTTAAAATATTTTTAAAAGTTTGTTTGAAAGTGTTGTTTGCATTCAGCCTTTAATTTTTTTAAATTTCAAAATTTTATTTTTTTTTAATTTTTTATTTTTTAAAGCAAATTTATTATTTTAAATTGAATGTGTTAAAAAATTAATAAAAAAACAAATCAAAAAAAATATTTAACCAATAGATTCATTAAAGAGCTTTTCCGATTAGACAAATTATTAAAAAGTGGAATCAATAGAGAAAAGTGGTTTAGGTACAACTAAAGCAATGGTATCATCTTGTGGAAGTCAAGATTTATTCTATCCGATCAATGAATGAAAATTATAATCGGTTCTTTAAAACATCAAATATTATTTAAATCAAAACTAAATGGCCACAAGAAGATTGATGGACATTAATGCCTCTTGCTTTTTATTTGATGGTCAAAATCTTTTTTGTTTAGAAAGAAGTATGCTCTCTGTAAACTAAATGAATATTGCATCAAATCAATCTTATTTAGTTAGAGAAGAATCAAAATACCAAACTCGTTTACTCAAATATTTAGATCAACAGAAAAAATCAACGAAATTTTTATATTAAACAATTGTAAATAATAAAGAATTTAATCCAAGTTCAAATAAAGTTGGTTTTTCATTACTATACTCTGCAAAACTATCAAACAAAGCTTGTCAATCCTTAACCGGAACAGAAATAAATTAAAAAATAATAAACAATAATTTATGCATTTTTGTATCATAACATTTTTGAATAACTTTTTATTATAAATCTTTAGGTGAAAAAATAATTAGATATAAATTTATTATTTACGAAGACAGAAAGCAATAATGTAAAAGATAAATATTGGAGTAATTTTATCTTTAACTTCGATATCTAACATCATACCCATTGATTTGCTATTACCAAGAGTTAAAATAGTTTTTGAATTGAGTCCAATATTTGTTTGGAAAGTTTTACCTTGGACTGAGGTGAGATGGTTTAGTGAAAATGAATATTTGGAGTTGAGATAATCAAAGGTAAATGACTGAAGTGGTGACATTGAGTTAAAGCATGTAATAATAAAATCATTTGTATTAAAAAAAGAATTTGGATTGGACTTTCTGTAAACTGTAAGGGTATTATGGGGTCTTTCTGAGTATACAGCTCTAGCGGCTTGAAATAAACCATTGGATGAGTTTGGAGGATCTCTGAAACGAACCAATGGATGAAAGTTATTAAACCAAAGAATATATTCTTTGTTATCATGAGCTGACATACTAAATGATGTTTTGATATGGAATAATTCTATATCTTTGCCATTGTATTTTGAAAAATAACGAATAACTGGTTCAAAGCCTCCTTTTGAAATTCTTGTATTAAAAAATTGTTGAGCTAAAAAGAAATATGGAACACCAACAGGATCTCTAAATTTGACAAGATTTGGTAAATATTTGAAAGATTGTGAAAATGAATCTTTTGTTAATAAATTACACTTCATGTAATCAATTCTTTCCAATTGTGAAGATATGTTGAAGATTTGTATTAATGTGTCGTTATCAATTGATGGTGGAAAAGCAATTTTCTTGATTTTTTTGTTCTTTTCCAAAAGAGCGAGTACACAACTACTTTCAATTCCAGTACAACCACCAATATCTAAAACCTGTAAATTTTCGGCAACCTCAGTAATTTTATTGATGGTAACTTGAGTAATCTCTTGAATTTCATAAAGCTTAAGTTTAATAAGATTTGGTGTAATAATAGTAACTAAATAATCATCAAGGATACCTTTTGAATAACCAAAGTTGATATGAGTAAGATTTGAGCAGAATTTAATGTCGCTAAAAAGATTGGGGATGTTATCGACATTGGATTCTCTGAGATAAAGCTTATTAGCAGATGGGAAAACTGAAAATAAAACTTTAATATTATCAGAGGATGAATGCTCTTTGAGATGAAGAGTTGATAATTGAATATTTTCAAAAAAGTATCTATCCTCTGGTAATACACTGATGTTATTTGGAATGATGAGTTTTCCTTTTTTTTCGACCATAGTTGCAAAAGCTTTCTTAACCATTATTTTGATTTTTGGAATATTCTTTGAAGATTCGTAAACAACCCATGGATTATAATTGACAACTGGTTCAATCTTTTCAATAATGCTATCAACAATACCATGAGAAAGTGCCTTAACAATTTCTGCTGAAACTTTTTCTGTTGAAAAAATTGGATTTTTTTCTTGAGTATTTAATAAGAAAACTGCATAATTAACATGACCCTTTTGATAGTTTTCGTCAATTAAAAATATATCTCTAAAATAAATGAAAATTATTTAATTGTTAGTTATTGAAAAAATGTTTAATTTGTGTTTTGATTTATATAATTTTTACTTACTCATATGCTTGATTAACTTTTTCAAAATCACTTTTTGAATATGAATTCATTCTAGTATACAATTTAGCTAAAAGATAAGTTGGATAAGCTTTTGATGGCGATAATTCAATACAATCTTTTATTAATGCTTCAATTCTTTCTAAATGCTCTGGTGTAATCCTTTCATATAATAAATATGAAATATTGGATTTTACTCGGTGAATTTTTGATTGTAATAAAAGATTTTGATCAATTCTAAGATTTTCTAACTGTTGGAAAGTTTTATCTGCCTCTAAATATTTCTTTGCTTTATCTGTGTTGTTAATAGTAATAAAAATAATAATAATTAATAAAAAATGATATGATAGTTTTAAAATTAATAATATAATTAAACTTACCACCGTTATATTCTTGATATTTTGCAATTAAACGAATAACATTACCCATTTGGAAAATAGAGTTATAATTTGTACTCATAGAATGGAGAGACTCTTCTAGTCGAGTTTGTGAAATTGTTAATAGTCTTGTCTTTGATGAATGGCTTAAACCACGACCCATTGATTTATAGTAAAGACTCATACCATCAGCATAATCGATGATATTTAATCTGGTGATTAAAGTTTTGATCTCGATAATATCTGGGTCAACGAAAACAAATGATTTTGGACTTTCTTTAAATTGGGCTTTGGATACTTTTGAAAGAACTAAACCAATTGATTTGCAGAATTTGGTTAAAATCTTATAACGAATAGATTTATTTTCTAACATCTCTTTGAGTATTTCTGTTGAGTGTTGTTCTATTTTGTATTTATTTGTTTTTTGTTTGCCGACAAAGCCATTAACAAACTCGATTTTTTCTTCTGTAACCCTCATTACCTTTCGACCATCTGGACTATCTGGACCTAGAACATTTTTAGAACCATCTTCTGCTGTTTCAAATTCACCCAAACCACGATTATGGAAAATATTAAGGAATTTCTTTTGCATTTTTTCAAAAACTATTTTAGTCCAAAATACTTCGGTTTGACCTGTGTATTCATCAAAAACTAAATTTAAGAAGTTTAATAATAAATCTAGGAAAAAAAAAATTAGTATTTATTTTTAATTTAAAAAAAAATAATAAAATTAATAAAAAAGCGACTTACTTCTATATGGATAGTCCGATGGCAAATGAGTTTTTTTCATTTCTCTTCTTAATAATTCTCTTGCCAAACTTTTAAGGGTTCTGACTATAGCTTCTGCAGTAAGGAAATCTTTTAATATATCGGATCTAACATAACTACGTACTTCACCTAAATATCTTAAATTAATACCCTCAAGATGGAAATGTTTTGAAATATTTTTGTAGTGGTTGAAGTAATGGTCAGTATTGATAGTGGTACTAAAGGACTCATTTTTTAAATAAGTATTTTCGAGATTAAAAGCGAAATTTGGAATGATTATATTAATGAGTTCGTCATAACATTCTTTAACTTCAGAGTTGTGAATATCGATTTCAATATTTGCCATTGGCGAAAAAGCGTCACTACATAAAGGCTTGTGGAACTTTCTTACAAGTTCCAAACGTAAAAGTTTATAGAGATAAGAGCCACGATGTCTAACTGGTTCGGGTGGGGAGAGTCTAGCAAAATCGAGTAAATAGAATCTATTATCAGCACCAATGTGACCTTCGATATCAATTGGACCATAAATTGACTTAATATCACCTGATGAATCTTGAACCATGTGCGATTTTAAGTTTACAATTTTAGATGCATTGCCAAAGAGATGATTGAAAATATTATTACTTGTATGAACAGTTTGACCAGCATCACATGAGCCATAAATTAATGATTTCTTTGAAATTGGCAATAAACTCATTGCCATAAGACGGAAACCTCTGTAATCGATATATGCCATTAATGGTACATGTAAACCCTTAATACCACAATTTAAGAATGATGTACAGCCATTGAGTTCGTGAGCTGCTGTTTTCATTGCATTTTCATCGCTACCATAAAGACCAAAAGTTTCATTTTCCAAAGCGAATTTAAAGAGAATACCTTGAACAATATATTTTTCACCACCTGCGATACCACCCACACTAACTGGTTTAATAGTTTTAAGTTCGTTGGACAAAAAGTTTTCGGAAATAATAATTCTACCATAAGTTTCAGCTGCATAAACAAAATCGTGTTCTAGTGATGATAATCTTTCAAATTTTTCCAAACAATCATCCATTTCCAATAATCTTTGAAACTCTGAATTCCATGATGTTATTGAAATATTTTCTAATCTAATTTTGCTTGAACTGGCATTCGAAATTGCAGATGCAGATGACTGAACAATAGTTCTTGAAGAAAAGCCTTCGGTAAGACCTTTGTTTGTAAGGAACTTTGGATGTGAGTAGGATGAGGTAAATGTAGAATGATTACTAATATATGGGTTTGATAATAAATTATCCTCCTCCTCTTCGACATAGCCACTACCTGGTTCCTCGTTTTGCTCTGATTTTTCTAAAAGTTTATTTGGTACATGGATTTCATGTTCATCTTCTTTGCCCAATCTTGATTTATACCTAATAAGATTTTCTAAAAGACAAAGATCCTCTTCACCAATATCTCTTTCGATATAATCTTTCTTTGTAGTTGTACTATTGGATGTCTCTTCTCCTTCTTCTGAATATTCATCACTGTAATCATTATAGTTTTCACCATTTTCACTATATACATTATATACACTATAAGATTTTGAAGCACTATATGATGAACTATAATTTGATGTTGCTGCATAATTATTACCACTATTTTCTAATAAACTATTACTATTATTGCTTGTTTGTGCATTATAAGAATTATATGGTGATGAACTATAATTATTTGATGATAATAATGATGATGATGATGATGAAGTATTATTGACCGCTCCAGTACTTGATGAGAGGCTATCAACCAATAAAGAATTAGAAACATTGTCATATCTTGATGATGTTGAATCATTTGACTCGCCAATTGATCTATTACTAGTTGAAACATTATCATATCTTGATGTTAACTCTTTATTGCTACCACCATCACTATTATTAATATTTAATTGATTTTTACCAACATTATCATAACCCAATGATGAAGTTGGTTGTGGCTGTGACTGTGATTGTGGTTGTGGTTGTGGTTGTACATTATCATATCTTGTTGTTGTTGTTGATACTGAAATTTCAGTATTTATTGGTGTTGAGTTTAAAGCGGCTTCGTCAACATTACTTGTAGATTCTGTGACATTATCATATCTATTACTGTTATTATTTGATGGAACAGTATTTTCAACTTTAACAGATACTGTTACTGTGGTAGTGGTGGTAGTGGTAGTATTAATATCACCATCTTTAGATAAACTAACAATACTCTCTTGAGCTGGTGGTTGATTTGGTTGATTTGATTGATTTGGTTGGTTATTATTAGATGAAGGTCTAGCATGTCTTTTAAAACTTCTTTTATTTAAGACAGCCCTTGCTTTATCTTTATCATCCCAATAAGCAAAAATTTCATTAAATTTAGCCATTGAAAAATATTTATATAGTTGAATTAATAATAAATATTTTAGGCTCTTTTATCTGTATATATATGAAAAAAAATATTAGTTTTTATTTTCATTTTCAATTTTAATTTGTAGATTTTGTTAATTTACTCTAAATTAAAAAAAAATATGAAATGAAAGAGTATAGATAAATATTAAAAATAATTAAGAAAAATGCAAAGATTAGCAACTGTTAAAAATAAAAATAAAAAAAAATAAAAAAAGTATTTATTTTATCCGTATACCATCAAAATAAAATAATAAAGAAAAATTATCTAGAAATATTATAGAAAGTTTTTTATAAATATAAAAAATATAATAAAAAATTTTTAAAAAATAATTCAAAAAAAAAATAATTAGATTTTTAAAAATATCAAAAAAAAAAAAAATTGCGATTAAAAGGGGTTATTTAAAAAAAAAAAAATAAAATTAAAATAAACCATAACTGTTTTTCAATCATATAAAAAAAATTTGTTAATCATATTGCTACTTTTGATAAAATTAATTACTTTTTGTTTTAGTGGGAAATTGCAATAAATTTATATTTGTTAAAGAACCATGTTTGATATCTTTGATTAATAAATGCTTTGATCTTTTTAAATACTTTATATTTATAAATAAAGTCTATTTATTTATTTTCATGATAATTATTATTTGAACAAGATGGTGAATAACTCACGTAATTATTGTTTTAATAAAAAAATAAATAAAAAATAAAAAATAAATTAAAATTAAAAAAAAATAATTTAAAATAATTTTTTTTCATTTTTTTTATTTTTTTTTTTTTTATTATTTTTTATAATTTTTTTTTAGTTTTTTAATTTTAAACATTTTAAAATTATTTAATTTATACATAAAATCAGAAAATGAAATTAGTCAATATCGCAAATACATTATTAATCAGAGGTGCTAGAAAGCATGTTCCATTAATTTGTTTCCCAGATAGACGTAAATATCTTTGAAATAAAAAAAATAAAAAAAAAAACTAAATTTCGATTTGATCTGTTTTTTAATTATTGTACTAACTTTATCGTTATTTACTTTTGAATCAATGGATATGTTTAAAAATTATTTTAGGTGGTCTTAAACAACAACCAAAACAAACTGTTGCATCAGCTCCACCAGCTCAATCACCAAAATTAAACAAAAATGCAAATTATATAGATTTTACCAAAGCACCAAAAAGATTACCAATGAGAAAAGACGAAATGGAACTTGTTATTGTAAATATAATTTTGTAGAAATTTAAAAAACAAAAAACAAAACAAAAATACTAATCTTAAACTTTTTTTTTAAAAAATTTCAGAGTGGAGGTGCCTATTAAATATAAATACAGAAAAATAAACAAAATAAAAACAATTATAAATATTATTTAAAACAGAGATAATAAAGCTTTTTTAAAAACCGATTCGAATTATATAAACAAAAAAAAAAACTTTTTTCATTTTAAATTATTTATATAAATTTATATAAATTGAACAAAATTAAATGTATATTTATTGGATTTTTATTTAAGAATGAAAACCAAATACTTTGATACTAGTATCTTTGTTGTTTTCATTAATTTCAGGAGCATATGCTAAAACTGGTAATGTTGGATGCCATTTTAATGATGCCTAAAGTAAAAAGATTAAAATTAGATAATTATAATTGGATGGTAGGTAAATAGTAACAAAAATACATACAGTACCAGGGCAATCGATTGAAAATATAGATTGACCACTTTCAACATGAGACTATTGTTTAATAAAGGTGATGATAATTAGTATTTAACAATATATTTTATTAGTGTTATGAAAATACTTACAATATCAATAATTGCTTCTTCGGATGCCGATGCAATAAATTGACCATCAAAACTAAATGATACAGATCTACAAGGAAAAGAGAGTTTTGTAAAAGTTTTAATACACATCATATCTTCTATATCCCAAAGGGAGACGATTGAATCTGCGGAGCCAGCTGCAAAATATCTACCTGTAGGATCGAAATCTAAACAATAAACTATATTAGTATGACCACTAAGAGTCTTTAAGTGTTTGACAACCTCTTGTTTAACTGTTGACGATCTTGGAGTGAATTTATAAACCTCGACATTGCCAGCACCATTGGTCATGAACATTAATTGACCCTTGTTATCCCATGTTACTTCATTTAATTCTTCACCATTAAATTTATAGTTCTTTAAAATTTTCATTGTATTTACATCGATTAAACTTACATGATCGTCACGTGTGCATGAAAGCATATATGAACCATCTGGATACCAACGTACGTCAATGTTTTCACCGTTTGTGACTATGGTTGATGTGCATTTACCTGTTCTTACATCCCATACCTTTACTGTTTTATCTGAACTAGCTGTTGCTAATACATCAGGATGTTTTGGGCTCCAACTTAATTTTTCGATTGATCCTTCATGACCTTTTAATTCTATTTCCTTATCTTTATTACGAGATGATGATGATGAAGAAGAAGAAGAAGATGATGAACCACTAGAATTTATATCAAAACTCCAAACTTTTGCTGTACCATCAGCGCTACCACATGCTAATTTTGTACCATCACAATTCCATGATAAAGAGGTTGGCTAAAAGAAAAAAAAAAAAAAAAGAATTTTGGTCAGTATAAATATTTATTATTATAATTTATTTCTTATATAACTATAATATTACTTTTTTCTTTAAACCTGAAAAATCTCTAGTTGAACACTCTGAAAAGTATCTTGATGCTAAATCTATACTATAAATTATTAAGTAATGGTGGTTTGTTAGTTAAAATAAAAGGAATGGTGGTTTTTTAAAAAATAGTGATGTATACTTTTTAGAATCAAATAATGTATATGGAGTATTTGTTTTCGGTATATTTTGTTCTTTATCTCTTGCATCTTTCTCTTTTTCTTTCTCTTTCTCTTTATCTTTATTTGAGGAACCTATATTTGAAGATATACTTGTGCTTGATGTACCAATACCGCCACTGGTACTACTACTAGTAATACCACCACTTAATCCACTGTGAGATTGTTGTATATTTTGTATATTTCCTGAATGTGGGTGATGAAGCTGTTGTGATTGTTGTTGGAGATGGGGGAATGAGTTTGGTGGATATTGATAATTAAACAATGGATGTTGCATTTGTCCCATATTTGGTAAATAATATCCTCCTCTTTGCTGTATGATATAATGATTTTATTAGTTTCATGTTATATAGTGTATATATTTATTATATTTATCAATTATATGTAATATAATAATGGTGTCTGTGCCCATATCAATTATAATAAATTATAAATGATATTATTTATTATTATTTTTATTATTATTGAATTTACTTACCATTGGCATATATATATTGCTTGAAGGATTTAAACGAGATCCCATTTTTTTATTAAAATTCTTTTTATAGTATACTTATTGGGGAGATTGTGATAGCTGTTGTACTTTTATAATTGCTATTTTATTGGTTGCTATTTTTGTAATAATAAGACTGGATAGGTATTATTTTTAGTTATTTGTTTTGGTCTTTTGGGTTTTTTTATTGGGAATAATGGTGTTTTAACATAAAAAAAGGAATCTTAAAACTGAAGAATTGGAGTGTGTAAATAATAACTAATTATAAAAATAATTATATGGGTGGAGTGGAGGTGGGATATCTGTCAATATATAAATATTACTATAAATAATAATAGATTCAATAAGGAAAACCTAATTTTAGTGTACTGTTTTATGTTGATACTAAATTTGTGTTCCAATGAGGTTGTTATGTTATTATTAACGGTTATTATTATTAATTTTATTATAATAATTACTATTATTAAATTATTTTTGTTAAATCAAAATAAAAAAAATATTTTCAATTTTTGTAATTTGAAAAACGGGTGATTTTAAAAAAAGGTTGTTGATTTTTGTCGTCGTACTATTTAAAGAATAGTGCAAGTAGGAGTAATATTGAACAAAAAATATATAATAATGATAATTTAAAAAAAAAAATTAAAAAATTAAAAAAAATGAAAAAATTTAATATTTTTTTTTTTTTTTAATTTTTTTAATTTTTTTTTTTTTTTAAATTTATTTTTTATTCTATCACAAAAAATCTTTGTTTTTGTAATTTACAAAAAAAAAAAAAAAACTTTGGAGTGTATGAAATGAAAATAATATCATTCATATAAAATATTTCTATCCTTCCAATCAACTGATTTTAAAATATCATGTTTTTTAATTTTTTTTTTTTTTTTTTTTTTTTTATAAAATTTTACAATAACAACAAACAAAAAAAAATACATATCACTTAAAATGGTGGTACAATCAACTTCTCTCTTTAAAAAAAAAAAAAAAAAAAATCAAAAAAAATAAAATTTGAATACATAAAATTTTTACATCAAGACATGGAGGTGTTAGAATTTATTGATGATGTTTTGGGGAAAATTTTTAAAATAGCCCAATAAAATATATTTTTTTTTTTTTTTTTTTATTATATATTATTATATTTTTTCTCTTTTTCAAAAATAATATTTAAATTTACAATCACCTCAATTTTGTATTTTAATAAAATCCTAAATTTTTTTTTTAATTTAAATAAAAAAACTAAAAAAAACTTTTATTTTGTTTTTTTATTTATTTTCAAATCTTGGTATATATACTATTTAATAATAACTCAACATTCTATAACTTTAAACTATATACCAATTCATTTATAAATAAATACCTGTAATATAAATAAAACTATAATAAATAACTCTCACCTGTAACAACAATCCACAAAAATCGAAATTTATATCAATTATTGGAATCAATATAAATAAAATGTATGTTGGAAATGGGTTGTAATTATACCTCATATTTTTTTATATATTTTTTTTTTGTATTTTTGTTGGAAACTTTGGTTTATTTTTATATAATTTTAACCATTGTTATTTCTAATTTTATATTAAGAAATAATCATCACCATTGATAATAAGCAATATATATAAAATCAAATGACTTGATTAAATAAGTTAAGTTGGTGTGGTGTGGTGTGTGTTATTCTTTTTAAAATTTTTATTTTTTTATAATTTTTATTTTTTTTTTTTTTTTAATAAAATTTTGTTATTTTCATTTTCATTTTTTTTTTTTCTTAAAATCATATTAAATTTCAATGTTTATAATAAAAATGATTTATATTAATAAAGATAAAAACAAAAAAATAAAACTATATAATAATGGATTGTAATCACCAAACACTCAAACTTGTATATAAAAATTATGGTTATGTTTTTAAAAATTGTGTACCCTTAAAAAAATGCAATCTGTATGAATATCACATTTAGTATATATTTAGATTTTGTGTGTATAAATGTAAATAATATATTTTTAACTTCAACATACTGGCTATGTGTTGTGTGGTGTCTCTGTGTTATGTCGTTTAGTTATATTTAATTTACCTTTTTAAATGTCGCCTAACAACATAACACACTGACACAACACAACACATAGCCAGTGTTTTTTATATTTTTTGTATGTGTAGATGATATCATAATTTCAAATTATTTCAAATATTGTTGTTCTTTACACACATCACTTTGACACAACACACCACACCACTACCACATTATTCACACACAAGCACACACAAAATCAATTTTTTTTATTTTTTTTATTTTTTTTATTTATTATATAGTAGGGGTAATAAAGAAACATAAAATCTATATATTTCCCCTAAAATAACAGCACATACCCCTCAAATCTATCAAATTGATCAAACCTATAATTGTGTGTGCTTTTTTTTTTTTATTTATTTTTTATTTATTTTTTTTATAATAATAAAAATATTTTAATATATTGTGTGTTGGTTTTTAATGCATTCTTATAAAAAAGAGATTAAATTAAAATTTAATTTATTTTATTTTTTTTATTCAATTATTATTATCATGATTAAGATTCTTTATAATAATTTTATTCAAACAAATAAATTATTCATCATCATCAAAATCATTATCATTATCATCATCATCATCATTATATAATAATAAAAATAATAAAAATTAACACTGCTCTTCTCAACCATTCCAAAATAATTTATCATAAACAAAACAATATTGTGTGTTACTCTTTTTTTTTTTTTATTTATATTTTTTTTATAAATTTTTTCAAACACTTCAAGTCTTTAAAATAAAAAAAATATTTTAATTAAAACAAATATTGGTTAAACATCTTTAAAAACAAAACTGCATCACTTAATACTATTATTTGTCATATATATATATATTAAAATAATAACAAAAATAATAACCACGATAATATTTTTGGGTGTGTATATTTATAAAGTATTTATATATTTTTTTTATATATTTAACTTGTATCCTTTTAGTCTATTTTATATATAATCTATCGATTTATCTATATTAAATTGTTTCTGATTTATTTTAATTAATCTTGATTTTTTTTTTTTTTTTTTTTTTTTTTTTTAAAGTTTTTTTTCAAATTATTATTTTTGTTTAAATAGACCCAAAATAAATATTTATAAATATAAAATAAATATTATAATAACTAACATTTTTTTTTTTTATAAATTTATTTTAAAATAACAAATTAATAATCTCAAAAAAAAAAAAGTTTAAAAATAACCTAAACCCACACAACCCATCGTTATTTTTAAACAATTTTTAATTTTTTTTTTCAAATTAAAAAATCACATGGTTTTAAATATAATAATTTTAGAATTCACATTCAAACATTTTTAAAGTTTTAAATTAAAAAAAAAAAAAAAAAAATATAATTAATAAAATTTACAATTTTTTTTTTTCCTTTTCTAAAAAATAAAATATTTTAACAAAACCAAATAAATTAATAATTAATAATAAATAAATAAATAAATAAATAAATAAATAAAAATGTCCTATACCACCACATCAATTATATTAGCAAGTTCAAATGAAAATCAATCAGTAATAAAATTAAAAAATAATCATGATTCAATTAAAACGACAACAGATAATGATGAAGATATAACTTCAACCACAATAATAATAAACAACGATAGTAATGATAGTATTGATAATAACAATAGTAATAATAATAATAATAATAATGGTAATAATATTTATAAACTTTACTCTGAAATAATGTCAAATGAAAATATTAGTAAAAGAATATTTTATTATATTAAAAAATTCGATAGTAAATTTATTAGTAAAAAATATAAAGATATATTATCACTAGAATGGATGATAATGTACAAGCATTGGGGGTTAATCAAAGATAAAGTAATGAATGGTCAATATATGATAATTTCGTCAGTTTGCAAAAAAGTAATATTTTCAATTCCAGATTTCGAACTATTCAAATTAGTATTTGAAAGATATAACGAATACTTTCCCAAACAGTATCCATCATTAATTGATAATGCAACTTATTATGGAAATCTAGATATGGTTATATATTTACACAATAGAGGATACACAGCTACTCCCTATGCTATTGATAATGCTGCACGTTGGGGAAATTTGGCAATGGTTAAATTTTTAAAAGAGAATAGATCTGAAGGCTGTACCGATAGTGCCATGGAAAATGCAGTAGCCTTTAACGACTTTGAACTTGTTAAATATATTCACCAACAATTATATGAACCATGTACATTGTTTGCCATCGATCACGCCGCTTCAAATGGAAATTTAGAAATTCTACAATATCTTCACAAGAATCTTGGAAATACTCCATCACCCAATGGTGCCAACTCCTCAATGAATAATGGTAATGGTAGTGGTTCAGTTGCTTCACCCAACTCAAAAGAAATTATGACATCAAACACACCTCCATCAACACCAAAACGTTCAAAAGCTTTAGATTTAGCCGCTCAATATGGCCATTTAGAGTGCTTAAAATATTTAATTCAACATAATATCATTCCTCCATCTCATAACGGTAATCGTGAATACCCTTTATTAAGTCCAATAGGTGGTAATATTAGAACCTCAAATGTAACAATGATGCAAGGTGATCCACATCAAGATAATCCATACTATAGTGCCACAAAGCAAGCTATTATTGGTGGCCATTTAGATATTGTTAAATACCTTTTCACTCTATATCAACCAACAACCGTTGAAGTATTTGTACTATCAATTACCAAAGGTCAATTGGATATTTTAAATTTCTATATGGAGCATTTAAAGAATGTAGATTTCGAAACACATTTCAACAACACATACACCGAAGACTATATAGCATCAGCACTACACTATAAAAACCTAGATTTAATCAAAGTTTGTCATAAGGTATTGGGTATAGAAATCACATCAAAGGCATTTGATATTGCTGTCCGTTTTGTCGATAGACCTGACCTTTTGGTATACCTTTTACAAGAGAAACCTTTACCAGATGGTGGTTTTAGTCCAAATCTTTTAGCAGACTGTTGTATTTATAATAATTTAGCCGCTATTAAAGCCCTAGTAATCTTTGGTGGCGAGTCTTTTTACCTTCAACCTCAGTCCTATTGTGCTGGAATGGAAATTGCATCAGCAAGTGGTTTCATTGAAATTGTACAATACCTCAATGAGCTAGATCAATCTCTTTCAATTGGTGCCGCTGTGGATAAAGCATCCATTAATGGTCACTATAACATTGTAAAATATTTAACAGAAAATAGACCAACTGCATCGTGCACCACAGATGCCGTCGACAAAGCAGTTTATAATGGTCATGAGGAAGTTGTCAAATATCTTTTATTAAATAGAACTGAAGGTGCTACAAGCAAAGCATTGAACAATGCCGCTTATTTGGGTGACTTAGATTTGGTTATGTTTTTACACAAAAAAGGTCAACAATGTAGCAAGGCAGCTATCAATGGTGCAGCATCAAACGGCTATTTAGATGTTATCAAATTCCTTCAAAAAAATAGAACTGAGGGTTGCACAGAACAAGCTTTAATTAATGCTATCTCTGGTAATTGTTTAGATACAGTCAAATATATAATCGAGCAATATTGTCCAAGAGATATACAAATTACAGAGGCAACAATGGTAGCAATAGGCGAATCGGGAGATTTAAATACTTTGAAATACTTTAAAGAAATAGTATCAAGAACTGTATCAGTTAATTTAGATTTTAGTCACATTTTAAAACCAGCATTCAACTATGGCTATTTAGATATAATAAAATATTGCTTATCACCATCAGGATCAACCACTCCACGTACTCCCACCTCATCATCATCACCATCATATTCACCTTTCAATATTCCACAATTAACATCTCCATTATTTTTATCTTCTGGCAATTCAAACTCCAGCTCTAGCTCATCCACCCCAGTATCATCACAATCGCCCATTTCATCGCCCATTTTATTATCATCGTCATCATCATTACAACCAGTGCCACAATCATCACAGCAACAACAAGTAACATCACCATTAGCTCTATCATCACAATCATTAAACAGCAGTGGAAACAATATAACCATAAGCAGCAACACCCCATCAACTACAGGCAGCAACAATGTCCTAAACAATATTATTATAAATAACACACTATCAACATTATTACAATCACCCTTACAACTACCATTAACGAAAGATTTAATTCAAATCTCCTATTCAAGAGGTCACAGTCATATTTTAGAATACTTTTTAGAATATCACCCAAAACCTTTACAAAAATATTTATCTGGTTTGGATCTATCTCCAAGAAGAAGAATTTTAAAATATGATGAATATCATTTACTATCTTATTTAAAAACTTTAAATACAAAACTAAATACAAAATCAAAACCAACAATCTCAATTTTATCAAAAATTTTACCAATTAGAAATAAGAAATAATAAAATTATTTTTTATAAGAAATAAATAAAAGATTAATTTCTTTTAACATTAATAAATAAAATTCAACAATTTTCTTAAAAACTCCCGAATTTCAAATAAAAAAATAACCAATATGATTTACTCATATTAAATTTTCAGTGTTTATTTTTTAAAAAATTTCATTTTACATTATCAAAATATAATAAATGTTTGTTCTGAATATATAAAATTATTATTTTAATTAGAGTTCTAAATAAAAGTGGTAATAATTTAATATTTTGTTTTTAGAATTAGATTTTATTTTTTTTAAAAATTTTATGATGATTCGGAGCGTTCGGTTTTGCTGATTTTTTTTTTAAAAATTTTTTTTTTTTTTTAATTTTGCTGTCTTGCACCAGCTTGAACAGTTTTTTTTTAAAAAATAATTATTTTTACAGTTTTTTTTATAAAAAAACTCAATTGCACCCAATTGTACCTACAGTTTTTTTTTTAAAAAAATAATTATTTTTACATCCAAAATTAATATGATAAATGGTAATTTTAATTTTGGGAATCAAAATTTTTCTAAGTCTTTTTTTTACATATAAAATTAATATGGAAAATGATAATTTTTCTAAGTCTTTTTACATATTAATTTTTATATGGGAAATCGAAATTTTTCTAAGTCTTTTTTACATATAAAAATTAATATTTTATTTTTCGATTAATAAAAATATTAAAAATATATAAATAAATAAAGATTTTATATTCAATTTGAAGATCAACAATTGCTTTATTTTTCTATAATTTTTTTGTAAAAAATAAATAATATAATTTTCTTTTTTTTTTTATTTAAAGTAATAAACCAACTATGAATACCAATAGCAATGAAAGCATAGAACACATTGTTCTATTGGATGAGCTTGGGTATGAAATTTCATATTGAATATAATATTTCATCTCTACTTTAGGGTTGCAACTAAAGTAATCATAAATAGTTTCAAAGTTAATAACGGTATAATTATAAACACAATATTTTTCACATCCTTTTATTGCGTTTCTAAAACTGCACTCTCCAATATCTTTATAAACACTATAGCAAACTTTCCCACCACCTATAAAAATGAAATTTTTAATTATTTTATTATTAAAAAATAAAAAAAAATACACAACTTACCCATATATTGAAAAGTGTTATTATTAACTGTACGACTATCAGCGAAATAATCACCCATATTCATATCACCTTTGAACAAAATATAACATGGCTCATAACCTGGATGGTCGTAATACTTTTCACATCTTGTAATTTTTACATATTGGTTAAAGGGAGCGGTGGTTACATTATTTCCAGATGGAAACCCACAATCTTCCGCAATTGAATAATTTACTAAAAATAATAAAAATAATAAGAATTTCATTATGTAATATATTTTAAAAATTTGAAATATAATTGATTTTTGTGGGTTTTTATTTTTTAAATAATTGTAAAAAAAAAAATTAATTTTTAAAATTTGCTATACTTAAAAAAAATATCTTTATGAATATAATTATTTGAAAATAAAAAAAAAAAAAAAGATATTTTTTTTTGTTTTATATTTTTTTGAATTTACCACCCTCCTATAATATCAAATACAAGGTTTAAAACCAATTGCATTAAAGTAATCAAAAAAAAAATAAAAAATTAATAATAATCAACAATTATTTTAATTTATCAAAAAATAAATTTTTAAAAAAAAATAAAAAAATAAAAAATAATAAAAACTTTTTATTTTTCGAATTTTACAAAAACATAAACATTTCATATAAATTTTATTTTATTTAATAATTTGATCTTAATACCTTACAGTTATTTGCGATTCGCCCAGTGTTTTTTTTTTTTTTTTTTTAAAATTGAAGATAATTAAAAGCAAATGCTTTAAATTTTTTTTTTTTTTTTTTTTTTTTTTTTAAAAGTGAAGATAATTAAAAGCAAATGCAGTATTTTATAATATTTTATTTATAAATATTTCTAGGTGCATTGGTTTTTTTGGTAATTTCTGAAACTGTTAACAGTGTTTTGGTGATGGTGGACATGGGGTATAGTGTTTTGGTGGTGATGGTGGACATGGTCTGAAATTTGGTTGTTTACATTTTGGTGAATTGTGTATGAACTATAAATTAATCAGTAAAATTTTATTTAATGTTTTTTTATAAAGTTTTTAAAGAAAATATTCTAAACTGTTGATATTTGGTAAAGATTTGATGCTGATGAAGTATGCTCTTGCTATTCTTCTTTTGAATTTTCTATATTCTTCATTGATGTTGCTAATTGTTTGTGGTTGTTTAGCTTGTCTTTCCTTGATGTTTTTTAAACCTTTTAAGTATTCTAAAGTAGCTAGTTTAGTCCATTTTGAGGTTAGATTCTTATAATCGAGTTCTTTTATTGTATTTTCTTGATCGTCATATAATTCTTTACATAACCAAATCCAAACTTAATGAAATACCAGGGCTATGGCATTTCTATAAGGGAAACATCTAGTTAAGTCGAAATCTATTGCTTTATAGTTCCATTGGAAGTGTGATTTGTGAAATCTGGTGTTGCTGTAATCCATATTTATTTCTCCATCGGATTTGCGACCTTCTGGGGATTTTGTATGTTATTGTTTATTAATTATTTATTTATACTTTTTTTTTTTTTTTTTTTTTTTTTTTTTAAAAGTGAAGATAATAAAAAGCAATGCTTTTAATTAATCAGTAAAATTTTATTTAATGTTTTTTTATAAAGTATTTAAAGAAAATATTCTAAACTGTTGATATTTGGTAAAGATTTGATGCTGATGAAGTATGCTCTTGCTATTTTTCTTTTGAATTTTCTATATTCTTCATTGATGTTGCTAATTGTTTGTGGTTGTTTAGCTTGTCTTTCCTTGATGTTTTTTAAACCTTTTAAGTATTCTAAAGTAGCTAGTTTAGTCCATTTTGAGGTTAGATTCTTATAATCGAGTTCTTTTATTGTATTTTCTTGATCGTCATATAATTCTTTACATAACCAAATCCAAACATGATGAAATACCAGGGCTATGGCATTTCTATAAGCGAAACATCTAGTTAAGTCGAAATCTATTTCTTTATAGTTCCATTGGAAGTGTGATTTGTGGAATCTGGTGTTGTTGTAATCCATATTTATTTCTCCATCGGATTTGCGACCTTCTGGGATTTTGTATGATTTATACTTTAAAGTTCATTTACATTACTATTACTCTCATTCGAGCATCACAATGCTACCCCTTAACTTTCTTTATTAACGTCTCCGAAAAGATAAAAACCAAAAAAAGACTCCCCGTCCGGGAATTGAACCCGGGCCTTTCGCGTGACAGGCGAAAATCCTCACCACTAGACCAACGGGGAAGAGCTACAAAAATCAATTTTAGGTAAAGAAACCCGTTTTTCTATATGAGTTTGAATATTATTTTTTTAACCCTTTTCTACGATCGCCATAACTATTGGTGGTTGGCAATTAATACAAAACAATCACCTATAAAAATATGTGGGTTTTCTCACACAAAATATTTTTTATTGTTTTAATTTTATTATAGTAATTAATTTTTTTTTATAATTTATAACATTATCTATTTGATTTAAATAAACATAAAAGTTTTAAAGTTTTATTCTATTAGATATTTTTTTTAATTTTATAAAAAAAAATAAAATATATACTCTTGTATTACTTGATTTATTAAAAAATTAATATGTGCCCCACTTCCCATACCCCAAATACTAAAAAATATAAAAATATAATTAAATATTTGATTTTTTTTTTTTTAAAATTTTTTTAAATTTTATTTTTTTTTTTATTTTTTTTTTTTTTTTTTTTTTTTTTTTTTTTTTATAATTTTTTTTAAGAGGAATTATTATTAGAGGTTTTTGATATTTTACTTGGTTGGAATAGATAAATTTTATCTTGATGAGTGTTTGCTCCTTCTGCAGGATCATATCTTTGCTGTAACACTTTCTCATCATTTTTGTTAAAATTAAGGACTGCATTACTCTTTGGTGATTGAATGAAATCATTCATAACAGTAGTATCAAAACATTCCCAATAGTTATCACTTGTGGTAGTGGTAGTAGTGGTGGAATTTTGTGATTGTTGAGTATTTAAAAAAAGATCATTCTGTGATTGTAATAGGGAAGTATCTAAACGGTCACCAGCTAAAGGAGTTTGTGGTTGAGAAGTCTCATAATCATATGATTGTTGGAAGTTAAAATTATCTTGACGATTCTCTAAACTATTATTAGGTTGAGGATTCTCTGAACTATTATTAAGCAATGGTTTAGAGGTTTTACTTTCCTGTGAAGCATCTAACAATTTTATTTTAATTATATATTAATAAACAATAAACAATTTAAATTTTATAATTTATTACTTACACCATTTATTCATTTTTATATGTGAATGTTGCTTATTATTTTATTTATTGTGACTAATAAAAAAAATTTTGTTGTAAAAAAAAAATTATAATTTTTTTTATAAAATTTTTTTTATAAAAATTTTAAAGTTTTTTTATTTGATTTTTTGATAAAATAACTTAATTGATTTTTCCCTATTAACTATTATCATAAATAAAATATGATTTGCCTTTAATAATTTTTATATGAATAACATTACCGTAATTACATTAATTTTTAAAAATAAATTGTAAAAAGGAGTGTGTAAAATAAAAAAATATATGTTTTTTTACCACTATTTTATTTAAATTTTTTTTTTATCATTAATTTAATAGCATTACCTTTTTTTTTTTAAAAAAAAATATAAACATATAAATAATGAACACAATCAATATAATTAAAAATACCAAATATTTGTTAATCCTTTTGTTTGATATTATTTAATTAAATTTTTAAAACATCAAAAATTAATAACCCCCAAAATATAAAACAGTTAAAACAGATAAATTTTTACCCCATAGTGGTTATAAAAATAGGAGAAAAGTTAAATTAAAGCTTGCTAAGTGCAAATTCACCAATACCCAATAAATTTTTAGGGGTAGTCAAATTATTTAGTAAAGAACAAATGAATGCTTTGATGGATCAAAAGATTGAAGCTGCACTTGATAAAGTTTTTAATGCAATTATCGACTCTGAGGTTTTAGCTTTAATTAATTCTGGTAATAATTTTTCAGATGCAGTCAATTTATGGGCAGAAAGAAATGGTCAAAAAGTTTCGAATGTACCAAAGAAAAAAAGTAAATTTGCCATGGAAATTCAAGATTTAGATGATGATGTAATTAAAGAACTATGCAGAACTCAATATCAAATATTCACTGGTGATGCTGAAAGATGCATAAGCCTATTATCTGATGATAGATTTAATGAATACTCATTAAATTCCCTTGTATTTGCAATGGCACACTATGTTTCTGGTCAATTGGAATGTATTGCCAATGGTATCACATGGGGTTTTCCAGAGGGTTATATTGAAGGGTAAGTCATTTTTATTTTATATAAATAAAGAAACCTATAGTATACTAATTTTTTATACAAACCTTTATAGAAATGGAGGAAGTGTTGTTGGTGTAAAGACAAAACTTCATGAAAGAATCAACAAGTTCCATATGGATTTCAAAAAGGCTATAATAAAGTATTAAAAAAGGGTGCTCATCCTGGAGATGGAAATATGTGGAGAATTGTGGCCGCTGCAGGTTTAGTTAACTATTCGGGATAAAAGATTATATGAATATCCAGTTGTCAAATCTCCAACTTTTGAAATTGTAATGAAAGAATTTCAAAAAACTTATGTTCCCTGGACATCTTCGTAATAAGGCAACAACTAAGGATGATAATATTAGAGATCATGTAACATCCCAATATCAAATTACCACTTTACCTAATCAAGGTCGTAATCAGTTATTATTATTCACCTATAATTTTACTACCCCTCCATGTAAAAAATTCATGACGAAACTTCATCTTGTTGCATTCGGTTCCAATCAGTATACTATATCAACAGAATTGACAAATTGGTCTATTTTTTCAATAGCAACCAATCAATTAACAAATAACTGCCCAACTATGGAAGTAATTAGAACAAGTATAGCTCATGGTGGCCAAGTTCCTTCTGATATAAAGTATGGAATTCACCCACTGTAAAAGATTGGGTGATCTTCTATCTGGAAAACATATAAACAACCAAAACAAACAAACAAATAATAAATAATAAAATACCTTATAATGAGACTTTTTGGGTTAAAACTATCTTTATTGATAATATTGATAATATTAATAATAATAATGATAATGATATAATGATCTTTATTTATGAATTTTTATAAAATAAAAATTTCGGTTAAAAGAAATTTTTATGAAACACGTTGCAAGAAGCCATCGTATTACTTTTTTATGGGAAAAGCTTTATAGGCTAAAAAACCCAATTATATATATATATATTATATATTAATTATTATATAATTAATATGTGAGTGTCTAACATCCACACACATATACTTTTGAATCACCTCGTACATCATTTGAATTTAAGATATTCAGTACTCATACCTCAGGCAAACAATCTGATCATCTTCACATAGATGATATAGATTTTACTCTATTGGAATAGATACATCTCCTTTACATTAAATTTTAATTTATAATAATTAAAATAAATAATAAATAAATAAAATTAAAAATAAAGAATAAACTCTTGAATATTGGTGGAATACCTAACAATATCTTCAGCTATGATATCATATTATTCAGGTGGTGTTATATTTTAGTAATTTATGTTTTGATAGATGTATATGATACCTAGTCCTTGAATCAATATTGCCACCTAAATTTGTTTTTATTTCCCTTTCACCTCGAACCACTTTTTTTTTTTTTATATGTAATTTTTTATTTTTTTGCACATAAAAAAAAAAAAGTTCGAGGTGTTAGAATGTTGATAGTTTCTTTCAGTCTGAATCGATAAGCATGCTAATTTAAATAGATTCTATAACAGTCGCTAAATCATCTGAAGTTGATATAAGTTTTCTGTCCAATAGGAAATCGTATGATAAAATGTGCGTATTAGTCTTTTGGAGAGTAAGGTAGTTTATTTCAAGAAAATAGAAGACGCCTACATATAAATTTTATTGTGGAACAATCGAAAAATCATATTTTTATGAATGGAAGTTACAATAATTTAATAATTATTATATCTTCCCAGGCTTATGAAACTAATTTTTAAAAGAACTATGATCAAGACAAGTGTTAGAAACGGTGGGATTAATTTAATATTTTAATATTAACAGCAAAGATAATTATTATAATAAAAATAATAAAAATAAAAATAATTATAATAATAATAATAATAATAATAATAATAATAATAATAATAATAATAATAATAATAATAATAATAATAATTTTTTCTATAAATAATTAAAATTTTTTATTAAAAAAATTCAATTTTTATTTCTATTAATTATTTTTATCGGTAAATTCGCTATTATTTGTTAATAGTTTCATATTCATCTTCTTCTATATATTTCATAAATATAATATAGTGGACCATATTTGATAATGTAAACACTGATATTTGACTATAAAAACCTGATTATACACTTATAATTGACTATACACACTTGTTAACTGTTTTCAACTTTATCGAAATCATAAATTGAAATACTGAATTAAACGATATAGCTAATAATTTAGTTTTCTTCGGTTTCATAGAAACATTGAAAAAATTTATTAAACTATTAATTTTATCGCTTTCTATTTCAATATGAATCAATATCCATATGGTTAACAAGGTGAGGAACGAATCTATCTTGATATTATAACATACTTGATTCTATACTATGGCTATTTACACTATCCATTCAAAGCTGATTATTATTTCACTAATATTATTTATATTATTATATTTGTCTTTGAATGATGATTATTATTTATACTAATTTATATGTTTATATTATTTGTATTATTACATGTTACCTTCCCCTGGTCTTAATGTCTTTCGACTTCATTATTATAATTTTTATCCTTTATATTCTTCAATAATGAATCTTCCATATTGATCGTTATATTCTATTAATAAACGATCTTGATAATTATTTTCTTCATATCCTTCGTGTTTAGTTACTTTGAAATTTTCAAAGACAGGACTTTTACTTTTTTCTTCTGTTGGGCCATCTTCGCTGTTACTTTCAATGTCTGATAATTCGTTATATATTTCATTGTCAGATAAAATATTACCTCCTTAAATATCTGAGGAATCACTTAATGCCTCAGTGTCTGATAAATTTTTATATCCTTCATTATCTGAGGAATCACTATATCCCTCAGTGTCTGGTAAATTATTGGATCCTTCATTATCTGAGGAATCACTATATACCTCAGTGTTTGATAAATTATTACCTCCTTTATTATCTGAGGAATCACTATATCCCTCGGTGCCTGATAGATTATTTGATCCTTCACTATCTGAGGAATCACAATTTTCTTCGTTTCTTGATAAACTACTATATTCTTTCTTGTCGAAGAAACTGTCCTCATCACTATAATCATTTTGATGAAGGTGAATGTGGAGGTGTTGATGAATGTGAAGGTGATAGTGGACGTGGACGTGTGTGTTAGAATTACCATTGGAATATTCTGATTCTTTAAATTTTTCATTATTTAAAGATAAAATTTTGTCCCTATCTTCTGTTTTAATATTTATTTCATCTTGTTCCGATGAACTAATATTTATTGGTGATAATGAAGGTGGTGAAGGTGATGAAGGTGATGAAGATGGTAAAGATGATGATGGCGAAGAAGATAATACTGGTGATGATATTGGTGATGATGATCTTGAAGAAACAGAAGTAAAAGATAATCCGGAAGATAAATTTGAAGAAAAAGTTGATGATGCTGAAGAAGAGGAAGGAGAAGAAGATGATGCTGAAGAAGATGCTGGGGAAGGAGAAGAGGAAGGAAAAGATGAGGATGAGGATGATTTTGGTTTTTCTAAGGAGTCTACTTTTTTGGAAGCACTAGCTTCTTTTATTTTATTTTGTTGTTGTTGTTGTTGTTGTTGTTGTAATAAACTTTTTATTTTTCTGGCTTTAATTACTAATAATAATGCACAGAAGAAGGAGAGAATTCTAATAGCATAAATAAAAAAAGTAAAATATGGGGATTCCATTTTATATTATTTAATTATTATTATTATTGTGCTTTATAGATAATTTATAATTATTGGATATTATAAATAATTTATTTTTATAAAATATATAATTATTGTTAATATTTAATTAATGATGATTATGATATGTATATAAAAACGAAATTATTTAAAATGAAAAAAAAAAAAAAAATTTCAAAAAGGAAAAAAATTTAAAAAAGGAAAAAAATTTAAAAAGAAAAACTTTAAAAAAGAAAAAATTTAAAAAAGAAAAAATTTAAAAAAAAAAAAATTATAAAAAAATTAAAAAATTTATAAAACTAATGTGGGTTACCCCAATATGAATCACAAAGAGTGTGAACTTCATATTTATTTAATAAAAAAAAATATATTATGAAATTAATTTTAAAGAAAGTTATATAATAATTTAATTTGGTAAATATAATTTTTAAATGAGAAAAAGGAATTATTATGAGTTTTTATTTTAAAATGAAAACGATAACCATTATTGTAATAAATGAAGATAACAATAATTTTTGAACTCTACAATTTTTATAATATTTTTAAAATAATATATTGGTGTCTTTTTATTTATATTTTTTTAATATTAATTAATATCATTTATTTATTTTTGCTAATTTATTATATTTTTATATATGAAAAGATTATTACATTATGATATTTAATTTAATTATTTATTTTTTTAAATTAGTTATTTATTAATTAAAAAAAAAAAAAATTTTAAAAAAAAAAAAAAAAAAAAAAAATTTTAAAAAATAAAAATATGTATTTAAAAATAACAACAACTTTATAAAAACCATATTTCTAATCTATTTAATAAAAAAATATTTTAATGATAGTAGTTTCAGTATAATTTTTATTATACTGTTAATTCTTTTTGGTTTATTTTTAGTCATCAAATTGGGATTAAAAAATCTAAAAATACCATAAAGATAAATTCTCAATCGTATTCGAAAATATTTAAAGGAATAAACAAACCAATGTAAAAAAATTCAACATGAGATTTTAGCATTTCAGAGATGTTATATATTAGCTATTTTATTCATTGGACTTTTGATTGGGGAATATTATCGATCATACTCTGAAAAAGAAAAAGAGAATCAAAAGATGAATATGTTTTAAAACATATTGTTCCACTCATCTAAACTCTACTTTTAAAAAAGGTACAAACTTTCTTATTATTATTTTTTTATTATTTTACATCTTTAAAATAAAATTAATTTAAATTTATATTTTTTAATTTTTTTTATTGGGGAGGGGTTAATTTTTTATAAATTTATTTTTGGGCTAATTAATGTTGATTAAATTATATTAGGGTATGCGATTTAGTTTATTTTTTGAAAAAAAGGGGTTTCTAAGTTCGGGGTCAATTAGTTCCATTTTTAAAGTCAATTTCTAAGTTTTAGTTTTTTTTTTATTTTTCTAAGTTTTAAAAACAAAAAAAAAAGTTTTTAATTTAAAAGGTGTTTAAAAATCAATAAAAAAACAGTTAAATCATAATCAATTAATATATATAGTAATGTGTGGTTGTTTCCCCCCTTTTTTTTTTTTTTTTAAATTTTTTTTTAAATTTTTTTTTAAATTTTTTTTTAAATTTTTTTTTAAATTTTTTTTTTTTTTTATTAATATACATAAATATGTTAAGAGGATTTTTAAATATATTTTATTACAATAAAGCAGTTATATAATTAAGCGCAATATTTAAAATTAAAAATAAATAAATTTAATATAATTTTTTTTTCTATAAATACTTCAAAATTTTTATTTATATATCAATATCAAAATTTATTAATATATATAAAAAATATAAAAAATAATTATATTTTAAAAAAATAAAAAATAAATTAATAAATAATTAATATATATATAAATTAATAAATTTAAAATTATAAAAAATAAATATATTTTAATATTAATAACTAAATATCAATGGAAGGAACAAATAAAAGACCTATTACCAGAAGAAATTCAATTTAAGATCTAGACAAAAAGCTATCAACATCCCTATTGCATTAGATATCATTTTATAAATGGTAAAGTATACATATTATTATTTAATTTATTGATTAAAAAATTATATACTAATATCTTATTTTTAATAGATGGTAAATGTTTAGCAGTAAAAAAATATAGAGAAAAAAACAATCTTTCAAATGATAAAATAAATACTCTAGATTATCACTTCTCCAAAGAGAGGGTATAGAGAAACTATGATGAACCTTTAATTCAAATGCTTATTGAAGAAAAAAAAGAAACAAATACATATATTTCAAAGTATAAATAAATCCAAAAATACTTACAACTCCTATTAAATAGTAACAAAAGTAACTTTAAAAAAGAAATAATAAAAGAAATGAAGAATGGCATGATTGCATTCCGAATGAAGAATAAAGTTTGTTTCAATTGTGGTCAAGATCGCAACATTAATCAATGTGCTAACGAAACCTCCGTTGCTTTAGTCCCATGCACTAAAAGTAATTTCAAAAAACCCAAAACAGCTTGACTATGTGTAGAAGAAAGTTTAGATCATAGAAATGATACAATAAAATATTAGAAAGAAAATAGTATTGAATATCCAACATACTATTCAATTGTAAGAAATGTACCTTCAGTTGCTTCTTCGTCCGTTGAAATTGAAAGAACATTTTCGGGTGCTAAGTTGTTGGTTACAGACAACAGATCAAATTTGGGTTGGGAAAGAATAGAACAATGTGTGTTAATAAGGGAATGGGCAAACATTTCAAGAGTAGATATTGTCGAAAACTCTGTCATTTATAATTATTCAAATATTTCAAAAATGGTATGATTAAATAAAATTGTACAAGAATTTTAAATTTTTTTCATACAAAAAATAATGTAATTCTAAGTTTTTTTTTTTTTTTTTAAGTTTCTAAGTTTTTAAAATGAAAAAATTAGTCAAGTGGGTGGGTGTGGGAGTGGGGGAAACTTATAAATTTTTTTTTTTTTGTCAAACTTAGCTAAATTTTATTCCCTAAATTATATTTCCCCATCATCTATTTAGATAAAATGAAAAATTTTAAAGCTATGGGTATCAAAAAACATAGTTAGATAGGAATATCAAATTGTATAACATTAAAATAATTATTAAATATAAATATACTTAAACAAAAATAATAAACTTATTTTTCTTTTTATTTATTAAATAATTTAAATTTTAATTTATAGGATGATAATTTTCCTGTTCTTTCAAAATGATTTCTAAATCTAAGGTTTTATTTATATCGCCATTAAATTCATATGCTATATTCTCTTTCATTTCTAAAATTGTAAAAAAAAATAAAAATGATTAATTTTTTTAAATGTATATATACTAATATAAAAAATAACTTACTTGTACAAGTTGAAGAACCCAAAACTTTACAAAAAATTGAATATATATGGATATTTAAATTAAAATCTTCTTTAAAATTATTTTTAATTTGAATTGACATTTTAAATAGTAAATTTGAAATATATTCGAAATTTAAAATATAACGATCAGTTGTTAATTTTGCAAATTTTTTTGTTAAAATTAAATAAGGGAATAAATCTAAACGAAGTTGATAATATACTGGTTTAACAATTAGGCATTTTTTCATAAAACTGCTAATTAGTTTGTGATGATTATATTTGTTTTCATGTACTTCCATCTCTCCCCTTTTCAACATTTTACTACAACCAAATGAACCATAAACACATTTGTGAGAATATTGAGTACAACTATCTCTCCAATGATTTACAAGTTCCTTTTTCATTATACTTTGGTAACACCTATTACAAGAGATCTGTGCCTCTTCACATTCTATAGCTATATGGTTGTCCATACTATTGTTTTGAATCTCAACTTTACAAAACTTACATGGGACCAAATTGAATTGGCATGCTTTTTCGTGAGTTGGAAGAAGATTTTTTCTTATTGAACCGCAAATTTTGCTATATTGGCTAAAATAAACAATTTTAAAATTAGTGAAAATTTAGAACTTATCAAAAACTACCACTACCCACCATTTAACATATTTAAATGAACAGAGCTCTAAATGAAGTTTTAGATCTGATAGCTTCATAATTTGTGAGCACCCGCCCTCTTCTTTTTCATAGATATAGCTATTTAAATTTTTAAAATAATTTAAACAGTGGACCTATATTTAAATATTTTAAATTAATTATTATTATACAACAGGGTTAAATTATTATATTCTTACTTCCATATTTAAAATATTTTTTTCTACATAAAGATTTTTAGCTATTTTTAACCCATTTCCAAAATCTATTTGGCAAACAGAGCAACTTTTATTATTTTTTATACATGAACTACAAAAAATGTGACCATTTAAACATTGATTTGGAAGAAATGCCAACTTATCACATTGAGTGCAATTAAAATCTTTAGAAACTATTTTTTGTTCAAGTATTTTATCTACAATAATTATTTTATTATCTATCTCCATTTTTGAATATTAAATATTAAATCAAAAATTGTAAAAAAAAAATAGTATTTATACCTTATTTTATTATTAAAAATATTTTTAAGTTTATAAAACTTTATAACCTAAGTGTAATATCACAAAAAATAAAAAATAAAACTATATTTTGAAAAACTTATGATTTTTTATAAAAAATAAAATACTTAATTTTTGTTTTTTTTATTTATTAAAAAAAAACTTAATAAATAAAATAAAAAAAAAAAAAATTGTTAGAAATAAAAAAAATAAAAAATAAAAAAACTTTTATTATTATTTTAAAATATAAAATGGAAAAAATGAATTATAATAAATTAAAAAAACTAAGAACTGGTATGACATATTTAAAAGATGACTTTTTTTGTAAATGTGGTAATCTTTTGGTTAACAACTCTATGTGGTAAATATATTTTTATAAACTAATATTTCTAAGCTCAATATTAATATTTTATACTATTTATACAGTTTAAATGGACATACTTTTTGTAACGATTGTGCAATAAAAGGTAAATACTGTATAGTTTGCTATACAGATTTATCCAAAATATCAAAAGATTTAGTTTTAGAAAGGGATGTTAAAAAAATAAGGGTAAATTATAAATAAATAGAAAAAATGAATAAATAAAATCAATTGAAATAATATTTAATCATAAATATATTAATGTTTCTTTTTTTTTTTTATGAAAAAAAACAATAGATTAAGTGCCCAAATGATAACAGTCATATTACATCGATTGGAGACTTAAAAGACCATTTAGTGGATTGTAAAAAGAATAACAGGGTCTTATATATTTCAATTTCCGTTATTGTTTTATTAATAATTATTTTTTGTGTTCATAGATTTTATGTTTTTTAAAACAATAAAAGCCAACAAAACCAAAATTAAAATAAATTAAATTTTTAAAAAAAATTTTATTATTAATTATTTGTTTTAATTTCTAAAGTTGATTTTAAATTGTTGTTAAATGTGTTTGTATTATTATTATTATTGTTGTTGTTGTTGTTGCTATTATCTAAAACTTGTTGATCCTTATCTTTTCTTTTTAAATTTATTGATAATTTAACTTTTGCTAAACCACTATTTAAATTTTTTAATAAATCGCAAGCCATACAAATATCGTTTGAACAAATATAACCACATTGGGTACAATTTCTTTGAACTGGCATTTTATTTTCTTCTCTAAAATGGAAATTTTCAGCTGAATGAATGATATCGATAATGATTGATGGTCTAACTGCCTCTAAATCCTTTAAGAAATCCCTAGCATGTCCTCTATAAGCATTTGGTGCATAAATACATTCTGTTGAAAAATAATCTAATTTTTTAAAATATGCATACATAACAATTTCTTTTTGATAGGTGTATTTAAATGGTTTACTTCTTGGTAGTGCACCTTCGCTACCTGTAATAATATAAACACATCTTTGTAATCTTGGAATATCACCACGTAATACTATATGGAATCAATAAAAATGAAAAAATGTTAATAAAATGCACAATTGCTAATGAAATTAATTGTTTTTTTATAATTACAATTCATTAAAACAGTTTCTGCTATATCATCGGCATTGTGACCAGTTACGATTTTATTTGCTTTTAAAATTACTGCACCACGATCCAAAGCTTGTCTTCTGAATACACCGCAAAATGTGCAATTTCCTTTTAATCCAATTTCTTTAACAATCTCATCCATGGTCCAATTATATAATTCTTTGTATGATAAAATTTTTAATGGAATTTGATATTGCTCTTGGTTTCTTTTTACTGTCTCTAAAGAGTCATCTCTGTAACCTGTAATACCTTCATCGATTGATAAAAGGAATAAGTCCAAACCATAGTCATACTTTTTATTTAAAAGTGTTAAAACTTCTGCTAAAACTGTTGAATCTTTACCACCAGATGCACCAATAGCAACTCTATCGCCCCTTTTAAATAAATTATTGGATACAATGGTATGATGGATTTCGTCTTCAAATACTTGATAAAAACATTCTTTGCAAATCATTTGTCCTGTTTTTGGTCTTTTTAAAACTGGTCTTTGTACATTACAAATTTCACATAACTTTGTTTTCTTTTTTGGTGTTGTTGTAGTTGCTACATTTGCACTATTATCCATTTTATTTTATTTTATTTTATTTATTTATATATTTATTATATTATCTATTTATTAAACTTATTTTTTATTTGTGTTTAATTTGATTAATTAATTATTTCTTTAATTCAGTTTGACGAAAAAAAAAATTTTAAAAAGAAAAAAAAAAAATTATTTTTTAAAATAATTTTAAATATTTTTTATTTTTTTTTATTTTTTTTTTATTTATAAATACAGTACTAAATATATCTTTTTTGAACATTATAATGGCTATATCAAAATATTGTATTTAATTGTTTTAAAAAAACTTGTTTAAAATTATAAAAATTTTCTCAGTTGTGTGATTATTTTTTTATTTAATTTTACAACCACAAATTATTTATTAAAATTTTCTCATTTATTTGTTATCATTTTTTTCCTTTTTTTTTTTTTTTTCTTTTTTCTATTTTTTTTTAAACAATAAATTATTTTAATTTTATTTTAATTATATCACATTTTATTTTAGTTATATTGTTATAAAAGAAAAAAAAAAAAAAACTTTTTTTTCAAAATTATTTTTATTTTATTTTATTTTTATTTTTTTAAAATTTCGGTTTTATTTTCAAAAGCTTTAAAAAAAATTTTTTTTCAAAAATTTCATTTTTTTTTGTTATTGTGCTTCACAACTAATACAACAAAATGGTCATGGTATGTTAATTTATTATTCTTTATTTGAATTAAAAACTATAAAAATAAAATAAAAAAATAAAATAAAAAAAATAAAATATAATAAACACATGATTATCAATATCAAAATAAATAAATAAATAAATAATTAAAAAAAAAAAAAAACAAACATGTAAATTAAAATTTAAATGAATACTAACTTTTTTGTTTTTACTATTTTTAATAGAAACTTTTCACTTACCCAGAAAACAACCGTGCTTTCAAAAGCTTAATCGCCGCTAAATACGCCGGTGTTGAAATTGAAGTATGTAATCTGCTATTATATATATACATATTTTTTTTATAAATATTAATTGTTTTTTTATCAATAATTTAGGTCCCAGCCTTCAACTTCCAAACTGACAGAGACACTGAATGGTTCAAAGCTCTTGCTCCATTAAAGAAAGTCCCAGTCTTATCAACTGAACAAGGTCCAATCTTTGAATCAAACGCCATGGCCAGATACGTTGCTCGTTTAGGTGGTAACTTATATGGTACTGATGCCTACACCGCTGGTGTCAATGACCAATGGATCGACTATGCCTCAAACGAAATCGACCCAATTAACTACGGTTGGACTTATTCAATCCTCGGTTACACTGATTTCAACTCAAAAGAAACCCAAAAAGCCAAAGAAAACATGAAAAAAGTTCTCGGTTTCTTAAATGAACAATTATTAAACAAATCATTCTTAACTGGTGCTCGTGTTCAATTAGCTGATGTCATCGTCTTCTGTTCATTAATCAACTTCTACAAAATGGTTTTAGACCCAGCTTTCCGTCAACCATTCGGTAATGTTAACAGATGGTTCATCACCATGTTAAACCAACCAAACGTTAAATCCGTCGTTGGTACTGTTGCCCTCTGTGAAAAAATGATGGCCTACGTTCCACCAAAGAAAGAAGAAAAACCAAAAGCTGAAAAACCAAAAGCTGAAGAAAAACCAAAAGCCTCAGAAGAAGAAGAAGTTGAAAAACCAAAAAAGAAAAACCCATTAGATGAATTACCAGCTTCAACTTTCTCATTAGATGAATTCAAACGTACTTATTCAAACAATGAAGTCTCCATGTCAATTCCATGGTTCCACCAAAACTTTGACGCCAACGGTTTCTCAGTCTACTACTGTGAATACAAATACAACGACGAATTAGGTCCACTCTTCATGACCTGCAATTTAATCGGTGGTTTCTTCCAACGTTTAGATTCATTACACAAATATGGTTTCGCCAGCATGATCGTCTTCGGTAAAGACTTAGGTGGTGGTAAAATCGAAAACCAATCAGTTTCTGGTATCTGGGTCTTCCGTGGTAACGAAATCCCATTCGAAATGAAAGATTGTGATGATTCATTAGTCTATGAATGGAAAAAATTAGATGTTGTTGCTGACAAACAATTAATCGACAACTACTTAGCCTGGGAAGGTTTCACTGACAAAAACTTCTTACAAGGTAAATTATACAAATAAACAATTTATCTTTTAATTTTAAAAATTTAAATTTTTAAAAAAAAAAAAAAAAAGCTTTATTATTTGTATTTTTCTTTTTTTCTATTATATTTTTTTTAAAAACTGGTATTATTAAATAATAATTTTATCTAATAACTCGGAATTTCTTAATCATATTTTATTTGTGCTATTTATATGTATTTATTGTTGAGTTTTTTTAATTTGTGTGTGAGGCGAACATGCCATCAATTAAAATAAAAAATAATCAAATAATATTTAATTTTTTTTTTTTTTATTTTAATTTTTTAATATTAATTCTAACATAAAAACATTAACTCAAACATAAAAAAAAAAAAAAAATTTCATGAACAATAAAAAAAATTAAAAATAGTAAAAAATTTAGTTGTAAAATTAATAAAATTTTAGTCCCATAACAAAACCAAAATTTAACAAATCGATTGCTAAAAAATTCAAATTTAAATTATTTTTTCAAGAATTCCTTACAGCAATTAAATCAATTCACTCATTTGAAAAACCTTGGATTCTGTCTAAAATTTTTTTTTTTTTCACATTTTTTTTTTTTTCACATTTTTTTTTTTTTTATTTTAATTCGAAATTGCCATAACGGGATTCAAAGCTTTTTCAACCTTACCTCAACACTTGCTTCTTCTTATATTTTAATATCGGAATTTCATCCGTTTTTTTAAGTACAAATTAATGTCATTTGGTCACAGATCCGGGTCCACCTTTATAATAATAATAAATGATAAAATTGATGATATAGAATTCTCCATCCCTAGTTAATTTCTATTCATTATCAAAATAAAGATCTATAATTTTAAAAAAATAATTATATTTTAATAAAAAAAAAAAAAAAATTCAAAATTAATTTTTTTATTTTTTTTTTATTTTTTTATTTTCTAAAAATAACACTTTGCAATTGTTTTATATAATGTTATACTAATTAAAAATAAAATACAAACACTAAACTACTACACATAGACGTATCACGATTAAATAAAGCATACCAACAGTGAGGCAGTTTTAAAAGATAAAGAATGTCAAATATTTAGCTTTTCAATGTACATATATATTCCCAAACATTAGCAAAGACATACCATCAAACCAATTGATTTATGAACAGTCTTCAAGAAAGATTAAATATTGTAAAGTATGCAATTACGATATCAAATATTTTAGTATTGAGGATTTTAAAACCCGATAAAAGAATGTTTGTGCAACTAAAAAACACTTTTAAGATCAGCAAATTCTAAAGTATCAAATATTTAGAATCGATTGGTGTCAAATTAAATATATTATATTATCATCAGAATCAAATCAAAACAACAATCGGAACAGGTAATATTGGTTCAAAAAAAATCAATTTCACACAAAATACAATCACATGGAGTGGTAACATATATCCATATTATACCACAGAAAAAGAATGTTCATCTAAAAATTAATAACAACAATAATAATAATCAAGTAGAAACAGAAACAGAAACCAATAACAATGGAACAGTTATAATTAAAAATCAATTTATAGGATATTCAAAATCGATTCAATTATAGAATTAGACTTTAACAATCAACAAATAGCAATATTCAATTTATCAAACAACTAGATATTTACAAACAAGCAAGAATCAGTCACCACATTCAACCAAATAAGAATTAATGAAGACAATACCAATGCAATAATAAAATTAATAATAGAAAAAGTAAACGATAAAGATAAAGGCTTCACATTTGCAGGTAATCAATTCAAAGTTACAAAAGGAGGACTCAAATTATCATTATCAATTTCAAACTGGTTATTCAAAAGCAATCTCAATATATCCCAAGTACAAATGACATCAGACATACAGATTGACTCATCAAACAAATCTAGAAGAGGGTCTGTTAAAGATCTTAAATTTGATTTAGTTGGTGATAGTGCATTTTTTCCAAAGATAATTTAAATCATATTGTAAATAAAGATTGGTTGGCAACAATTTCAGATTCCTCAAGTAGCAACATTAGCACATTGCTCAAAGATACATTAAAAGATGAGAAAAGTTGGATTGCAATTGAACTTGATGGTTATTATAAAGTCTGTAAAATTGATGAAAGAGACGAAAAAGTTCCTACATTTATAACTAATGTCAATTTATGATATAGATCCATTATCTTATTCAACCAACCCCAATTCGTACTCATTATTATCAGAAGCAATTCAAAAAGATACTCAAAATCATATTGGTTGGTTAAACTCAAAAACTTGCATCAGGATTTTAATTTACCAGCTCCTGCTCAATCAACATGTGAAGGTTACATTTTAGCTAAAATTTATTTTTTATTCATCTACAAGTCCTGTATTTTAACTACTCATCGTCTTTTTCAAGCTCAACCATATGTATATATATATATGCTCTACATTCTCATATTCATAAAATTGATAAAATATATTAAATAAAGATATTACAAACAAAACATAGTCTTTTCTTATTTTATTTATTTATTTATTTTTTTTTTTTTTTTTTTTTTTTTTTTTTTTTTTTTTTTTTTAAATTTAAATCCCGGCGGCATAATTTCTATTTGATTATCATTAAAAATAAATAAAAAACATAAAAAATAAAATTATACAAAGCAATGTATATTTAATTATAATATTTTTTAAAAATTTGTTTTTTTTTTTTTTTTAAAAAATTGAAACATATATCATGTTTTATATGTCATTGCAATGCGTCATATACATTATTAATTATATAATAAAGAAATTATAAAAAAAGTATGAACTTCAACCACATTGTGTTTGTTTTTATTTTTTATTTTTTTTTTTTTTTTTTTCAATTTTTAAAAAATATTATAATAAAATAATATTAGAAAATTTAGAAAGACAAGAAAGAGAAGAAAGAGAAAAAGAACAGCAAAGAGAACAACATGAAAGAGAAGATAGAGAAAAACAAGAAAGAGAACAACAACAAAGAGAACAACAAGAAAGAGAAGAAGCAGAACGTAGAGAAAACGAAGATCCTTGCACTATTTGCATCGAAAGAATTGAACCAAGCCAACTTGCAGTAATCGATTGTAACCACATGTTTTGTTTCGATTGCATTATGGAAATGTCTTATCGTCGTAATAACACATGCCCAAACTGTAGAGCTCCATTCTATTTAGTAAGAGTAAGTAATTCATTTATTCATATTTATACATAATAAATAAAACATATATATTAATTTAATTTATTATTTAATTGTAGAGAGTCAATGGTTCAATTAACGAAGCCAATATAGAGCATGGAGATCAAAGTCCACCAAATTTAAATAATGATGATGCAAATTCCAACTAATCCAATATCGATTCGGAATTGTTTGACCAAATGGATATCGAATAGATTTCCATTACCGTTTCAAATGGTAATTATTAGATTTCTTGAATATGTATCAAGAATTGGCTGGCCACGAATTCTATGATTACATGGACATAAATCAATAATATACCACCCATATGGAAACGTATTAATTAAGAAATCAAAAAAGGTTAAACAGAAAACATCATCATTGGACAACATTCTCATCTTTATCAAAATTATTAGTATTAAACAATTCATCGCTTCAACTCTAAAAAATAACGTTTAAAAGGTTCTCAAGGTTCCATTAAAAAGTTCTCATTATATTGTAACTATAATATTAATATTTACTAAAATATTATTAAATTTGAATATAAATGAAACTAATATTTTATTTTAATTTTTATAGAGTATAATCATAATCCTTTCTCTCTCGGAATTATCAGGTTCTTTCTCTTCAGTATAACAATGTCTTTCTTTAATGTCAGTAATAGGGCATTAATATTATTAAGGTAACGATAGTGTTTATATTACATAATTATTATATTTAAATTTAAAAGAAACTAATATTTAATTTTAATTCTTATATAGTTTATAATTCTTTCTCTCCTCGGAATTATCAGGTTTTTTCTCTTCAGTACAACCATATTCTATCTTTAATGCCAATAATAGGGCATTTATATAATTAAGGTAACTATAGTGTTAATAATTACATAAATTAAATTTGATTATAAGATAATCTAATATTTAATTCATATTTAGTTTAATTAATTCTCTTTCAAGCTTCGCACTTTCTATCTAAGTCTACATTGGGATATTCATATTTTTAAGGTAACTATAATGTTAATATTTACATAATTATTATTATCATTAAATTTGTATATAAAAGAAACTAATATTTAATTTTGTTCAGATTCAATTCTTTCTTTTTCAGTTTCAATACCTTATTTATATCGCAGTTCAGTATTTTCTTTATAATTTTGGTTTTCAAGTAATTCATCAAACACTGGGTTTTTTTTCAGGTCACTCATCAAACATTTGGGGTTCAATATCTTCTTTTTAATTGGGTTTTCAAGTCATCATACATTGCGATTTTCAAGTCATTCATCAAACATTGGGGTTCCATATATTCTTTCTAATTGGGGTTCAATATCTTCTTTCTAATTGGGGTTTTCAAGTCATTCATCAATCATTGAGGGATCAGTATATTCTTTTTAGTCGGGGTTTTCAAGTCACTCAACATACATTGGGGTTCAACATATTCTTTTTAAATGTGGTTTTCGTGTCATTCATTAAACATTTGGGTTGTTTTTCAAATCTTTCATCATACATTGTGGGTTTATCAAAATATTCAAACGCTGTGGTTTTTAATTCGTCAAACATTGTGGGTTTTTAATTCATCAAACATTGTCGGTTTTTTTATTCATCAAACGCTGTGGTTTTTTCAAATCATTAATCTTACATTGGGGTTTATTTTTTTAAATTGGGTTTTTTAAAACTTATTAAGATTTGAATTCTATTTCAACACATAATAATAACGATAATGATAATAATGAAAATGATAATAATATAAATAATAATCATAAATTTTATTAATCAATAATCCATGACCTTGATCATTCTGCCTTCCAAATCTAAATCCAAGTTAGCAATTTGAAAAAAACGAAATTTCAATTCTAAAATCTATTTACTCTGAATTAATTGCATTCTTTCCTATAAAGTTTATTTTCAACAATGGGTTATTCTATCATCATTTATCAATTACGTCAGTTTTATTAAGTATAAATTAATGTCATTTGGTCACAGATCCAGGTCCACCTTCATCATCAATTTTATCATTTATTATTATTATATAGTATTAAAAATTCTCCATCCCTAGCTAATTTTCTATTCATTATCAAAATAAAGATCTTTAATTTAAAAGCTTATTTAAATTTTTTATAAAATAAATTTTTATTGTTTTTTATTATTTAAAAACCATGGTAAATTTTTTCCATCTTGTGAATAAATTGACTAAGTTGCTGTTATTGTGGTGATAATTGTATAAAATAAAAGTCAAATATAATCATTATTATTATTTCTATTATTATTTATATAAAATTATATATATATTTAAAACTCTAAAGCATTTTTATATGACCTTTAGTTTGAAACTAACCTCTAGTGCAATACTACCACCCTGATACCATAATTGACTCTGATACTAATCCACTACCACTGCTACTGTAATTACTATCAAACCTACTATTAAAATTACTATTGTTATTGAATATATGCTGTTACTTTGATCGCTATAATTAATAAGTTTGCAAACAGATTTCTAACTCTTTAATATAACCTTTGGGACTTTTGATTTTGATTTCTGCTTTTGCTAAGAGAATTTTAAGCGGCACTTCTTTCTTTATTGATTTTAGCCTTATTCTTAATGTTTATAGATCTACTACCAAATATGAGTATGGAAACTGTTTCGGCTTTGTTGTAGCTTGAAGGTGAGGAATTTATAGTGAGTCAATGAATTGATTACATTACTCAATGATAACAATGATTTATTAATCATTTTAACTTTGTCTAAAATTATACCTTGTACCCATGTTTTTGAAATCTTTTCTAGATTAACCTGTATTGAAGGATCCTTTTTTTTAAAATTTTTTGGTTGAATATATAAAATTAATTATTATTATTATAAAAGTACATTTAAAAAATGATGATAATAAATTAAATAAAATTCAAAATTAATTTTTTATATTTTTATAAATTTTTTTTTTTTTTTATTTTTTATTTTTTTTAAAAAATTTTAGGATAAATTTATTATTTTTTATATATAGATATATATAAAAATAAAATTTTTATAATAATATTGAAATTATTAAAAATACTAATAGAGATAAAGAAATTGAAATTTTAAGAGAACCATTACCAGCTGGTGATTCTGTTGGATTGTTAGATGCGGTTTCTGTTGGTTTTGGTGTAGGAGATGGTGATAATGATTGTGTTGGTTTGGGTGTGGTAGTTTCATTAGGTGTTTCTGTTATTGTGGGTGTTTCTGATGGTGTTGGTGTAGTGATATTTTTAATGTTGCTACATAATACACTGAAGCCAGATGCACCAATTTTGATAAAATCATTGGATGGGACTAAACATGTAAAGGTATCCATATACCCCCTTTTATCATTACATTCATTAAATTGGGAAAAATAAAATGAATATCGATTAAATTAAATAAATATTTGGAATATATTCTAATGTAACCTTGACAACCACGTTTGCATTCAGATAATTCTACTATTGAATAGTCACCCTCTTCATGGGTTCTACAAAACTCTGGGTCTCCATCTTTTTTAATATGAAAATAGTTATATTTAAAGCTTTCTTCTTGAGACTTGACAGTAATGATTGAAATACAAATTAAAATTAAAAAACTATATATAAATTTCATTTTTTAAAAACTATAAAGTATAATATTAATTAATGAAGGTTGAGATGAATAATAAAACTTTTTTTTTTTTTTTTATTTTATAATTTTTTTAACAGGTTTGTTTTTAAATATTAATAGAACTATAGGTCTATTCAGATCATTCAAAGAAATATTATACTAAATTTAACACCCATGTTTTATTTTCTTTTTTAAAAGTTTTTTAATGAGGTGTGTTTTTTTTTTTTTTGGGGGGGTTTGAAACTTTTGTAAAATCAATCATTTTCTAATAGTTTTTAAAGTTCATATTATTAGTATATTACAAATTTAGATGCAAAGAATGTTTTTCATTTATTATTATTAGAAGAATCAACTCGTAAAATGTACAGAATTTCAAGCAGGTTTATAAATTTAATTGATACATCTTAAAACCTGCTTGAAATGCTGTATATTTACCACTTGATTCTTTTATAAATAATTTATAAACTAAGTGTTCCATTTGTTTTAAAGTAATCACTGCATATTTCAATGAATGGATGCAAGATATTATTGAAGAATTTAGAGAATATATAAAATCATACGTGGACGATATTATTATTTGTTCAAAGACATTAGATGAATATATAATAAACATTAGAAATAATATTTTTAAATAAAATATTTTTAATTTAATTTTATATATATTTATATTTTATTTTTTTATTTAAATGAAAAATTAATTTAATATATTTATATTATTTTATAAATAGGTATGGTATGATATAAATGTGTGTATAAACTAACTTTTTGATTGTGCAAATCTTAAATGATATTCAGAAGGTAATGCAAAACTTATTGAAGTAATTATTACTACCCAAAGAATCCATGAAATTGTAAAACTAATAAATTCAAACTGTTTTGAAGTTGAATTGTTGAATTAAATGTATCATTCTTTTCATTGGCTCTATAATCATAATATATGAATGTAACCATACTTTCTTTAGCATTGGATAATTTCTAGTGTTTAGTAAACATTTTATTTGATTCTCTATTATAGTACATTCAATAAATGATGATAAATTTAATAAAAAAAAAATTTCAAAATTAATTTTTTTTATTTATTTTTAATTTTTTTTTTTTCTAAAAATAATTCCTGCAACACCATAAACATTATTTTATTATAAACAAAATAAAAATAATACACCCACTTGAATTGGTATGTGATATAATGTGAAATATTTTTTATTTTTTTTTTTATTAAAATCTAAAATAAAAATGAAAACAAACATAATTTTTTTCTTTTCTTTTTTTTTTTTTCATTTTCTTAAAAATAAATAATAAAATAATAAAAGTTATTATATCAATTTTTTAATCTTATTTGTTGTACACTAGAAATAATTTATTCTTATGTAAATCGAATAATTATTAATTTAAATATCGTATAATGATAAAAAATCAATTAATTTTTTTTTTTTTTTTTTTAAAAATCATTTTTAAAATGAAATAGTTAGTATAATGTTTTGGATATCATTTAAAAGAAAATTTAATAAAAAATCGAAATAAAATTTAAAAAAAGATCAATAATCAATATAAAAAAAAGATATAAACTAAATTATTACTTTATAATTATTTTTTTTATTTTTTTCTTTATTTTATAAAAAAAATTAGAATTTTCAAAACAGTTCTTTCTTTTTAAAAAATTTTTTTTTGTATTTATTTGAATTTTTTTTTTTTAATTTTTAAATTTCATTACTGAAACAAATCATTACAATCATAATAAAATAAAATGTTTTCATTAATGGATTTAGTTTTCTATTTTTTTGCAGTTCTAGTTATTTTTTACTGCAAATTTTCAACCAATAATAATTTTAATGATCAAATGAACCAACAAACTCAACAACAAACCCAACAACAAACCCAACAACAAACTCAACAACAAACTCAACAAACCCAACAACAAACCCAACACAAAACCAACAACAAACCCAACAACAACACCCACAACAACCCCAACGACCCATTACAGTTTATTTGAAAATATAGATCAATATTCACAACAACAC